TGATCTGGACTAAAGGCAAATTGAATGAAATTGAAGCTTTTGAAGGAACTAACCAGTGAGAAAATAGATTAACTAAAGCACAATGTGAGCGAATGTGTCTTCTACCGGATCGCTATCGAACGTGTTCGGACGAAGGTTGTAAATACGATAGTTTATATTTTTCTCACCAGAGACATCGAGGAGCGCTCTGCTGACAAACTATTAGGACAAAGTACCATAAACCTTATAAAGATACATTCAAATTAGAGCTGGAACTGTCTGGCTACTTTTTTCTGCACAGTGAGAAAAAACATTTTTGCGTGAAAACAAAGTAAATCAATCTGCTATACAGAGGCCGCGTTAGTAAGTAATTAGAGAGTAAATCAGATATAATGGAGACTAAAGGTACTTTCAACTTCCTGGAACAAAGTAAACATAAATTTGCTGCTCTGATTAAAACTTTTCTTTACATGACTACTTACGGCTGCGGTGTAATCAAGGCTGCTCCTGCGTTTGATGTAATCTTCATAATTTTTTCTGTTTTACAAAGATTTCTTTCATGTGTTTCTTCGTTCTCATGTTCTTAGCGTTGACATACTATTTTTTTTAAACCTTTGGTAGCGATTCAGTAGAAGACACATTCGCTCACATTGTACTTTAATCTATTTTCTCACTGGTTAGTTCCTCAAGGGGGAAAAGGCGGCTCCGGGATCCATGCGGATCTACGTGGATCCATGCGGATCTACGCGGATCCATGCGGATCTATGCGGATCTGCGCGGATCCATGCGGATCTGCGCGGATCCATGCCAATACAATTTTATTGAACTGAACTGTCCCAGGAATCTCTGTTCCCACAAGCAAAACAAAAATGTTCTGTCTGTGGGCAAAGAATTCACAGAACAGAACACAATTGTCCCGTTATCCAGGAAATTTTCCCAATAAAAGAACCGGAGTGTTCTGTTTCGGGAACACGTTTGCCCTGTTTTGCGACTTGGACTGTTCTGTTTTGGGAACAGGATTGTTCTGTTTTAGCGGAAGAATATTGAGACGGATTCGTGGGAATCTTTGCGGATCCACGCGGATCTTTTTGGATCCATGCGGAAACCCGGATCTGCGGATCCGCTTTTTTCCCCCTTGTAGTTCCTTCAAACGCTTCAATTTCATTCAATTTGCCTTTAGTCCAGATCAGGCATGCAACCATCCCAAGCTAGGGCTCGCTGATCGGCAGCGAACATGTTCAGTAGCGAACCGTTCGGTGAATGAACATGTTCGGTGACAAACCGTTTTGTGCCGATCAGCGATTCCTAGTTTGGGAATGTTGCATGCCTAGTCCAAATCACATATTATGACTTTAGATCTGGTTTATGTTGAAGTAAAATGATTTTTCTGTTTCATCCAAACAGAGAAAGTCGAATAGCTCCCTTTCGCTTCCTGTGCCAAGGCGAAGAAATCAAACTTTTCCCTCTTTTTTATACTTTTAGTAAAATCTTTGTTTGTGACAGGAAAAAAGATTTGTAGCGAATTTATGATACAAGAAAAGAAAGCTGATATTCTGGAGCATCAGAAAATACATTTCGATCCCACTTTGATGCATAGCACCGTGTTCAAAATAAATAGTTTTTGGTTGCGCTTTAGGTTTGAAAGTAATCGATAGTGAAACTTTCCCGTCTTTCCTCTATATTTTTTATTCTTATAGTATATAAAGAAATATTCAATATGTTTTGTTTAGAGAATTAAATGAGGTTTCTTTTACCTAGGATTGAGACTTCGCGATCAAATTTGATCAAAATTTTGAGAAAATAGTAAATGAGACAGGACTTCTGGGCCACCTTTTATATAGTGTATTTTTAATATTTACTTTTCATCTTCGTTTTTAAGCTTTCGAACAGTCTAATTCATCATCAGACAAATGCAGAGTATAAACAGAGAGCTATAAAGAGACATGTTATTTATACACGAAACTTGTACATATAAACGAACATATGAAATAGTCCGTATGATGGTAGTTAAACTAAAAGGAACACACGGTGATACTATCAGACAAGGGAAAGAAATAACAGAATAAAAGTAAATTGTAAAAAGGACTAGAGAATGAGAGATATGGGTTATTTCATTTTTATTTTAGTTCTTTGACTAACACGTCCTTGTGGGTGTATCTCTAATTCTTCTCGAGCCATTTTTAGAATTTACTTTTATTCTGTTATTTCTTTTCCTTCTCTAGTCGTATTCTAGAATCGCCTTTAACAAAACAAAAACAACTTGCCGTTGAGAGAATTTGGTAGAATCCCGGAAAACATCTTGTTTTGTAGAACAAAGTGTGCTCCTCAAAATACAAAGCTGGGTGAATTCGAAATAATAGAGCAGTTTTCGGCCACAATCGAAATACCAAAAGTCCTAAAAAGGATTAAAGAGTTTTTGTGGTTTTTTATATTATAAATATAGCACAAACGTACAACGTGCTCATAGAAGCAAATAAGAGCGTGCAATATCATGCGTACGATTATCGTACGAAACATATAGTCTGAACCCTGTAACTTTTCAAGTGCTACGATTCGAACAGCGATAGTATCAATTCGTAAGTATGATAAACGGTGGGATCCAAAACTATCTTTCTTTTTGTTGAGCGCTGTGATATTTCAGCCATTGACAGCTGCTCATCTCGACCTCGATTTTCAGAAGAACCACTGGATCAGAATTAAAAATTATTCCGAAATACAATGATTTATTATCAAAAAAATAAGTGTTTACTGTGCCCAAAAAAACAAGGAAAAATGACAACGAAATACTTGCTGTTTTTGTAGCTCAATTTCAAAAAACTAAAAAGAAAAATTCCCGGGTAGTACTCGACGAACTCTACAAACTGGCGACCTCAGAATCTTCTAAGTGCCTGTTTCATGCTGGATCTCCAGAGATCAGATGTCTGAAGGTCTGTCCAGATACTCAATAAGCACACAAACAGATATCGGAATCATAATTAGCATCCAAAATTACCGTAGAAAAACAAGATTTAATCATAAAAGCTATTAATCCTCAGGGAATCGTCAGTCAAAATCGATCCAAACTACTTGACAATATTAAGACATACTTTATCTTATTTGCTGGTTTTTACCAAAGCTAGCAAACTCTTCGACTCTTCCTAAAAAACGCTTTTGATTTTTGGTCAAACAGAAAAACCCTCTCGCTTTTTAAATACTGTACGTGTATGAAAAATTTTCTACTGAATGTTTGGTTATTAAATCCTTTTGGTTTTAGTATTGTTGTTGCTAAACCCTTTCGGTTTTGTCAAATACGCTTTTTTTTTAGAGAGCACTTAAGCTTATTAGAACATATACTCCTACTTCGGAAGATTTCTAGGGAACGTTCGAAAACCTTAAGTATTTTCTATTAATTTTTAAAATGTATACTGAACTCCATGCTAACGTGTAGCTAAAACTCATATCTCTTCTAGAGATCTTCCAGAAAATCTAGTTTACAGAAAAATTTTGGAAAACGTTTTCCTAAGGAAGAGATGGTCTCAAGTCTCTTCTTTTGACTATTGAAAAACGCAGATCTCTAGCAGTTTCATTTGAAAGTTATTAGAAAACAGTCACACGCATTCTTTTAAAAAATGTATAATGTCTTTTCATCTTTTTCTTAAAAGTCTAATTGATTTTTCTGACAATAAAAATGGTCGATTTTTACGTGACACATCTTTGATCGTCAGAGTTTGAAGCAAATCATGTACTTCATGAATGAAACAACAAAGTCCATATCCTACTGAAAACTTATATTAGACGAAATAACCCATTTTCGACTGTTTTCCTCGTAGATTAAAAGATTCTTAACTGACCCAGAATCGATCAAAATACCTGAGCAAGACATGCTTATTTTAGCTACACGTTAGCATAAAGTTCAGTAAATATTTTCAAAATTAGCAGAACATGCTTTAGGTTTTCGAATGTTCCCTAGAAATCTTTCGAAGTACGAGTATATGTTCTAATGATCCTAGGCACATAATTAGGGTGAGCGAATAAAATAGACTGACTATAGCCTGATGTTTTCAAGTATTTTTGGTCGATTTTGACTGAGTTATGATGCTCATTCTTCCTGGCACAAAAGTTAAAGCCAGTATCGGTTATAGTTCTTTGATATCCATGATGACTTTACTTTTATATGTTAAAAACCTGTGCGTCAGTGCATTCATCTTTGTGTTTTGTCTTTAGGATTTCAATAAACCGTGTTAATTTCGCTCTTTTGTTTATGTTTTGAGCTGGATTCATTAGTTCTAATGCTTTTTGGAAATGTTCTAAAGCGGCTGTATCATTATTTTGTATGGCGAATATTAACCCAATGTTCGATTCACAGTTAGCCATTTCTGATTGATTATTTAGATTAGAAACTATTCTTAAAGCTTCTTCATAACTGCTCAATGCCAATGCGTATTCACCAATACGATGATAGATCGATCCAATGTTATTATTTGCTCGAGCTATGTCTACATGAGACATATTACAATATTTTTGCTTGTATAACTCCAATAAATCCCTATAACAACTGAACGCCTTAGTGAAGTCAGTTGCTACTATAGACTGGATAGCTTTGCTTTGAAGATCAAATACATGGGCCGTCCAGCTTTGATCATCTGTTATATTTCTCGGGTTTTCAACCTGATCACTGTCACATTCTACAAATGAACTAGAGATTGTTGGAGTAGTGACAAGCGGAGTGATATTGTTCGTAGTTGAATTAAGGGTTAAATGCTCAAATTTTGATGTAACATCAGACGATGAATGTGTTCGTTTTTCAATTCGACATCGAGATTGTCCATTGTGTTTCTTTAACTTTTTCTGAATTTCGATATTTCCAGTGTACAGTGCTATGTCTAATGGACTAGGACGTTGCCCATCACCACCATTGGAATCAGCCCCACATTCATCAACCAGATAATTTGTTAAAGCAACGTTATTTCGTGTAACAATATAGTGCAGTGCCGTGTCGCCATATACATCCTTAAAAAGAACAGCAGTGTTTAACTGTATCTTCGTGACATCACTTTACCTGCTCGTTCACAAAAGCCAGACCTAGCTCACGAATATACCTCATGCATTTCTCAGCTTGTTTTTTACATGCAAGCATAAATGGAGTCATTCCACCTATAAAGTTCAGCAATCAGTATGCCTCTTTTTTGTTAGAGTCTTTACTAACCAAATTTCTCCCGTACAGCTAATGCTTGTAGGCATCGATGGTGGATATTAGTGATTTCAGTATCTTCTAACACTTGAACTGTGGAGTGGAATCGCACCGTTAATGCTTTCAACATTTCAACATCATCTCGCTCAACGGCATAGTGAGCTGGTGTATAACCGTCCTTGTCTTGAGTACAAGGATTTACATTCCTCATAAGTAATAGACGTATCCATACATAAGCAACTGAACGAATAACACCCACATGTAAGAGATTCTAAATAAAGGTAGATTAAATTATTTCGAATTCCAATATTTTTTCTTCATGACATAAGATGTGTTTCTCGAGTGAGAGAAGAGAACAATATATACACAGTACAATATCATAGTAACGTTTAAACACAATCAATCACACACTGCTATACTGTAATACCGGGAAATATTTCTAGAAAATTTCCGGCGATTTTCAAAAGGTCCATATATAAATTGCCTGAGGATTTTTCAGATTCTGGAAAATCGCATTTATAACTTCGATATTCTAAAATTGTGAAAAATGCTCAGCGATTTTCAATCCAGAAATTTCTCGGCGATTTTATATATGAACGTTTGGAAATTCGAAAAATGGACTTAATTTCCAGTTATTTAGAATATCGCTGAGGATTTTTCAGGCGTTTATATAATTATATATGGTGTGTTTAGATGTCCCAGTATTCCGAGAAGCTGAGAATTGAAATATTAAGCGGCAAATAAAAAAGTTTCTCTGGGACTGCGTAAACATGACGGACTTCTTGGTTAAAAATGTTCTCAAATGTTGATGTTTATTATTTATCTTTTGAACGGTGCTTTACATATCAAGAACATGAGTTATAACTGTACAGATTTATTTTTCTCCTTGGACTGTAGCAAACGTTCAACTGTACACTAGACCAAACTTGAAGAAACTAAGGTGGTATATGTAGAATTTCAAGGGAAATCCGCCAGCGGGCTTCTTTTAATTCCATTCTGAGTTTCTGAAAAGTCGCCACAGTCTCTACTATATCTTCTGGTAAACTCTGGCATGTTTTTGAGTCTTTTGAGTTCATCACTGCTTCTGCCTGATTTGAACTTTCGGCTGTTTTTAATAAAAGAAACTAAACTTACGAGGGAACGTTTTTAAGCGCCCCTTCGCTTGTTCAACGAAGCCTAGTGGGTTATAGGTTATCGATGATGCTGATACCGAATATGAATATGAGAGCTGCCATTATGGCTTCAAAGGACCTAAAAAACTAATTTAGGGCTTCTCTTGTAAATTCTATAACTTTGCAAAGAAAGGTCCTGTAGAGCTGGGAGATATCTCATTTTAATCAGAAATGTGCGAGCTACAAGCATGGCTTATTAAGAAAAACGTTGGTTGTTTTCAGAGTTTCTGAAAATCTGGTTTTCCAGAAAACCGGGTCTACAATAATGTCTCATTAAGAAAGGTTTGGGTTGTTTTTCAGAGTTCCTGAAAAACTGATTTTCCAGAAAACCGGATCTTTGAAGCCCTTAGAGCAGCTCTCATATTCGGAATCAGCATCATCGATAACCTATAATCCACTAGGTTTCGTTGAAAAAGCGAAGGGGCACTTAAAAACGTTCCTTCATTAGAATAACTTTTGTTCTGTCTGCTATTCGATGGTCGAATGTAATGCCAATATAAAGAGAAAAACAAGACAAAATGTGCGTATGGAAAGGAGGAAAGAAAGGAAAAAAAAGTGACAGAAGAAAAAAAATGCCTAAATTTACTATAAGAAATCGCAGGGACTGTGGCAACCCTTTAGAAATTCAGAATGGAATTAAAAGAAGCTCGCTGACGGATTTGCCTTTGAAATTCTGCATATATCATCTCAGATTCAGCAAGTTTGGTCCGGCTGCACGCCGTGGCAAGCTCCATGCGCGCGGAGCATCCAATTTTCTAATGCTGGAAGTTCGTCTGCCGTAGGTCACATAACACTAAAAGACAAGGTCAGATTACCACCTCCGAGCTACTGAAGCTCGTTTTCAGTGACATTCGTCATGATCTTGAAGTATCATAGATCAGCTTTCTCGTCAGTTTGATAATTGTCGCATTCCTTTAAAAACCATTATCCTTGCACCACTTCTTCGCGCATGACCTAACATGTCCGGTGATGCCCTGTGGCTTGAAAGACCTTGCGCACTCTGGA